GATCTCTTGAGAGTATTTGAAAGAATATAGAGATATTGTGGTACATTAAGGGTCAATGCAAGCCAAAAAGAACAAGTGGACTACGTGGGAATACCTACTTTTCTCATCAGCACCACAGCCTTTTGTTTTTTCTAGATTTTATTTTATCAAGGTCAAATTACTTTTCAGATTTTCTCCATGTGAAGTGTATTCTATACCTCTCTACTTGTCATCTTTCAACTTCTTTTTCACAATCTTATCCTAGTTATACTCAAATTCTACTTTTTCAATTAAAATTTTTGATCATGTTTGCCCAATAATGATAAGGAGAAGGATTCATGATAAGTTATAGACGTCATAAGCTATATTCAGAATTTTGAGTTTATGTATTCTCAATGTTAGAAAAGATAATATATTGATTTCTAAATGACATTCATTCATAATTGAACAAAGATACTGAGTTTCCATCAATATGTAGCTAGAACTCAAGATTCAGCTTTGTACGCAACTAACTTTGGTCTAAATAAGAAGCACTTAAGTAATGTTTTTTGACTTAACTATATGGTATTTGATATACTATACTCACTACTCACTAGCTCGATAAAATTGAATTTACACGTGAAAAAAGAATTCAAATCTTATTCACCAAAGTTACGAAAAAGTTTACATGATTAGTGTAACTTGTCATCCATATACTTAGTGAGGATACTGGATACTTATAAGTTATAATATCTACTATAAGCTTTTGTATTATTTTTTTATATCGTCAATGAGTAAAACTTTAATCTAATTTTTTTTTTTAAAAATTATGCACCGATAATGACTTTACACGAAATCATGAACAAGTATTAGGACTTTTACATGAACATGAACACGCAGACAACAAAAAACTTTTTTTTTTCTACATTAAATTAAAATAATTAAAGTAGTCCTATTCTTATCGTAAAAACAAGTTGTAATTAATTTTGTGGTTGATGACTAACAAGATTGATCAAATTATAAAGTTACATTCACATGTAGATGTGTCCTTAATTAATTTCACCTTAATATCTTTTTTCTTTTCTTCTTTTTCCTAAAGAATTCTCCAGTCTCTAAATGACCAATTTGATCGTGTGGGTCATTCTTGTCAAAGTGCATTCCACGACAGCATTATACTAACGTGGACTTGCCGCCAACCGTCATGTCCAGGTTCAAAATATTTATCGTGATTTTTTTTGGTGTATGCGCGAAAAAAAATTATTAATCGGGATTTTCTTCGATGTTTAAGATAGATTAACTCATGTGCAAGTGTTATTCCCATCAGAAGCGAAATTAGAATTTGAGGTTTATGAGTTCGAAATTTTAATTCTTCAACTTTACTAGATTCTAAATTATAATTCACATGTATTCAAGGAATTTCTTCCTATAAATTCATAGTTTGAACCAAGGTTACTTGATTCAGTTGAATCTGTAACCAACACACTGGTTCACATATCTCATTTTCCGTATTTAAGATTGTAGATGAGATAATTATGCATTTTAACCTTTCAGTCCCTTAGAATAATAACTGATAAAAACTTATCCACACCCGGCATGACGTATAAATTAAACTAATGCAATTTTCATAATTACGTGATTTAATGAAGTAAACACACACACTATATATGCAAATGTTGGTGTTTTTTTTTTTCTAAATTTCTTTCTTTTTAGGTATTTAATTTATTTTACTTTAGATGTTTCCCTGAAATAACATGGATATATAGTGCAATATCTTTGTAATTAATATAACCTAAAGTAACATTTATTATTTTTAAAAGTTGCATATTTGACTTGACCTCTTAAGTAGAGATTGGTAAGGACCCAAAATGACATAAGTACTGATGCATAAGCCCAATGGACATGTTGGGCCCATTACTTTTCCTTTCTTCCCAAGGGCCCATTACTTTTCAAAGGATCAAATTAAGAAAATGAATTGTTCATCCTTTATTTATTTATCGGAAAATGGCCTAAAATACACTTGAAGTATTGGAATTGTTCCAAGTTTTAGTGCTTAGACTACTATGAATTAAAGAATTATGAAATATATAACTCGGTCATTCTAATTTATGTGATTTAGTTCGACCAGTCACAAAATTTGAAAAGAAAAAAAAAGAGTATTAAAATTTGAAGTCTAACTTGAGTTATAGATAATTTTTATATCGAGCTAGGTCATATTTAATTTAGTTATTATTAACTGCTTAATTAAGGAGATATTCATTAAATTTGGAATTTTAATGTATCGTTTTCACTTAGGCTTTTCGATTAATTTTAAATCATTGGACACCATGGAAGCATGCATTTATTCATTGATTCTGATACGATGTATTATTAATTAAAAATTAATTGATTAATTAAAAACAATCAATCATCAGATCATTGAGAATCCAATTCCATTTGAAAAAAATATTTATAAAAAAATTCTTCACCTTTTGTTAGGTGGAAATTGGAACATTAGACAGTATCCTCATTAGAGAGAGGAATCAAATTTAATTAAAGAACTCATATAGAAAGTTTTTGTGTTACCAACGAAGTTTGTGGTGAATTAGTATGATATTTCTTTTGTTAATAAAATTTTTATCTTTATATGAAACCTTTTAGAACGAATCCAAATGTAATCAAACATTAATACAAACTACGAAAATCAAACACTACCGATGGAATATTTTTAAAAAAAATAAAAATAGATAAGGATTTAACTCGGAATTGGTCTCTTGGTCTCCATATAATTGGCCAAACATGGAATCTTGAAATTAAATCTTTTTATTCAGAACTTGTAAAATTTTATAATTATGATTCCCATCTTGTGATGCACTTTTAAGATTTTGTTGTACGGACTCTGTAAATTCATATGATTTGAAGGAGCTGAGGTATATGTATAATCTAACAAATGTTCATAATTAAAAATCTGATTACACCTTTGATTAATACAAATTTAATGCTCGAGTTAAAGTTATTAAATTCAGTAAAAACCTATAAGTTTATAGCACTTTTATTGTGGTTCTGCTCTTTGTAAAAGATAATATCACATTAAAGTAGAAATATATTATTTTTTTCACATCAACGTAATTAGTAAACTTTACCCTTCCTATAGTTAAGCACATTATTACTACCCTTCTATTTAAGCACAGTATTATTCCAAATCTAATATTTAATTTGTAAAGATCCCTGTACACCTGAATAAAATTTCTTCTATTTTTCCTGTCATTGTTCGATATCTTTTGAGACTTGATTAATCAAAATTTGCATCGATAAATCCAAATTAAGGGAAATGTGTTTCCTACTACGAGAAACTCCATACTAAAAGCTCGAACCTTTGATGATATATACATAAAAATCTCTTCTTTCGATGTTTCATGTCCATTTTTAGACCCAACTAACTCTAAATTTGCATAGATAAGTCCCACATTAAGGGAAATGTATTTTCTACTGCAAGAAATCCATATCCAAAGCTCGAACCTTTAATGGTACATCAAAATCTCTCATGCATAAGAGCAACTAATTATTTTTTCCATCAAAGCCTTTTTCAGGACCGTTTAGGTTAAAGCAACAAAATCTTAAAAACTTTAGCTAATCTTTGTTTTTTTTTAACTAATAAAAGTTTTGGTTCACATAATGAAAACTTTATGTCAAATGTGATAATGATCTATAAAATTTTGGTTTGTAATTTTTTTTTGGTCTGCTGTCGTTACGTTGCTTTGGTTGCAAAAAGTGAGTAATTAACCAATGTGATTTAGCCTACTATAAAAGTTACAACAGATAACTTTACTTAAAGTTGGAACCATTTACACAAATATCTAGTGGTACATTTTCATAAATTCTATAAAAAAAAAATCATTGAAAATTATTAAAAAATGGAATAAGAAAGTATATATTATATATAGAGTAGAAGGGACTAGACCAAAAGTAGGCATGTCCTTGATTTTTTTTCATTTACATTTCAAATATATAATATAGTCAGTATAGTTTTACCAGCGAGGTCTAATGTATGTTAGGTGATATTAGCATCACACATTTATATATATATATTCCATTCCAGTTTAAGTTACATATAAAGAACTTTTACACTATCGGCAGAAGCGGATCAACACCTTTAGGAGGGATTGCATGAAAAGTATAGAAGTGTCGTTTTGCTGATGGTAAAAGCTAGAGAAACCATCCTCAGAGTAGGGATCAAATCCAGCTAAAACCCTTTTTCATTATTTTTGTTTTAAGTTTAGCTTAGAGCTCATATTTGAACTAATTAAGGTAATATTGATGCACCCGAAGTCTTCAAAACTTGAATTCGCCTCTGAATCTACTGGAAAACTTTTAATTATTCTAGCAGATAACTTAATTTAATTTATTTCATGATTATGAATTTTAAATTTTAAGAAAACTTTATAAATATTCTTTCAGTGATCTAAATTCTAATAATATTCTACTTACTATGTAAATAACTTAAATCCATTCCAATATAATAATATTCCACATTTCCACTCTTTCAGTTCATAGCTTTCCACTCTTTCATTTTCCACTCTTTAACTGCTACAACTGTTTTCTTTCTCATTCTGATCATTCACCTAACCAAAAGCCCTTTACCGTCGTGCAGTAGATTGAGTTATTCTTCTCTTAGTCAGAAGTTTTGATTTTTCGAGTTTTTGATATGAATTTTTTTTGATAAAGAGTGTTTCTTTCGAATAGATTCTATATGAATCTGAATTAATCGAGCTCCAATACGAATACCATACAAGGAGACAAAACAAAATAAACCAAAAGCCTTTTTCTTTTTCTTTTTCAAAACCCCCCAAAAGAAGCATACCATGGTTGATTACTTGTTTATTTTATGGGAAATTAATTAATATATAGTACTATAGCTACTACAACTAACTATTAACACACCCAGCACCAACACCAATCCCCATCACTCTTCTATTTATAGCATTTTATGATCATCTCATAAACTCCCTTTCTCCCTCTCCTTAATTCCTCTACACAAAATATATATATCCACTTAATTTGTTTCTCATCATTCAATATTTTTCTCCAAATATAATGTCCTCAAAATTATCATTTTCTTCTTCCTTCATTCTTTTCATCTTCATTTTCTTCTCCAACAACAACGGTACGTACAATATATGTACAATACGTTTCGTATAATCATCATATTATTGATGGTATCGAAAATAACCTCTCTACCTCTCAGGGTAGAGGTAAGGTTGATCTGCATACATATATTCGATATATCCTTCTTAGATCATCACACTTGTCAAATACACTGAATATGTTATTATTATCATATTTTTATTGATGGTACTAATCGGATTTTATTTTTTTCCTCAGGAATTGATGGTACTACTTTTAATTTAATAAATAGATGTGACTACAACGTATGGCCCGGAATATTAGCCAATGCAGGTAGTGACAAACTGGATAGTACCGGGTTCATACTTGCCCCGGGTGATTCACGGGTATTCCAACCTCCACAACAATGGTCGGGTCGGATCTGGGGTCGAACCGGTTGTAATTTCGATCCCAACACCGGTCAAGGAAATTGTGCCACCGGCGATTGTAGATCAAACCAAATGGAATGCAATGGTGCCGGAGCAACTCCCCCAGCCACCCTCGCGGAATTCAGTATTTTCTCAGGTACGTTGAATTATATGATCATTTCATCTAACAACTCTCATGCAAGCACGTAAAAAAAATCATAATAAATGATAGTAAAATTTGAATTATATTTTCAACAGGTGTGCAACAAGATTTCTACGATATTAGCTTAGTTGACGGATACAATTTACCAATGGCAATCCAAGCGGTTGGCGGGTCGGGTTCATGCGAGACGACGGGTTGTGTGAAGGATTTGAACCGAATGTGCCCAAATGAGTTACGGGTCGGGGACGGGCAAGCATGCAAAAGTGCATGTGAAGCATTTGGTACCCCTGAATATTGTTGCAGCGGCGCGTACGGTTCACCTTCCACCTGTAAGCCGTCTAGCTACTCGGCGATGTTTAAAAACGCGTGCCCAAAATCGTATAGCTACGCATACGATGATCCTACGAGTACTTTTACGTGTACCGGAGCTGATTATACAATAACATTCTGTCCTTCATTAACAAGGTAAAAATAATAATAAATTTTAAAAAAATATTATTTTTATCGTAATATTATTATTCAAATTTTATTCTGCTACTTTATTACTATCTTTTTATTTCTTTCGATCATTGTCGCTGTCCGTTGATTTATTCATAAAGTAATAAAAGTATGTAATAATGACGTGTTATTCTGAATCAAAATTGCTTTTTGTAATTGGAAATACCTTTTTTTTTCCCTAACTAGCTTTAATTAGCTCATTGTAGCACAAGGCTGAGTAGATATTACTGTACTACTTTGAGCATATATCAAGTTGTACTAGTGTAGGACAATATTGTCTTTTATTGTGTCGGAAAGATAATTTAAATCATAGTCAGTATCTATTCGTCTTGATCGCTCAGTCAAAAATATTTACAACCTCTAACAAATATACATAATATATACATATATTATACATCTGCTAACTTTATTTTTTGAGGTGGACAACTATTTAAGATGGGTGATTAGTGACTTTCGTGGTTGTTAGATGAGTTGTTACTTTTTAATTAAGAAAATTAATAAAATATTAGTGAGAGTATTAAAGAATATAAGAGTAGTATTAGTTGGCAATTACTAATATAGAGAATCTTTTAGTGGCTTCATTTTGTTATCTTATCTTGAACATTTTTGTCTCTTTTTTTCCCCACCTTTTTCTTCCGTAGAACAAATGAAATACTATCTTCTTTTGATTTTATTTTTTTCTCAAATGTCCATTTACACTTTATTCTTTTAACTGGATAAACTTGTTAGTATTACATCACATCAAACGACATAATTTTCTTGGAAAGCTTTTTTATAAAGCTTTCAATATCATATATGTATTAACTATCATATTGAGTCGCTAATAATCTATCGAAAAAAATGTTTTCATCCCCGTAACATACTCTACCTTATTCAGACTCATTTGTAAGATTACATATGTTATTATTGTTATTTTAAGTATAAAAATGTCAAATTAATGTATTATTGTTAACGACGTGAGTTTCATGCAATAAATTGGGATGTTATAAATTATTAGTATTATTTATTATACATGTCGTTTTATTTAAAGTAAGATTTAAATCTCATAAGACTTTATATTTGCTTGCAGTCAAAAATCATCGAGAGACTCTTCGCCGTTGAACGGCAACGGGAAAGGATTTTCTATCGGAAATGGCGGGTCCGGGTCGGGTTCTAGTCCGGCGGAGGATCCATTTCCATTTGGCAGTTCATGGTTACCGGATTTTATGACGGGGGACTCATCACGAACAAAATTTTCTTATTTTGACATAAAAATTGCATTTTTAATCTTTTCTTTTCTTCACTTTTTATTAATATTTTAATTTTTCCAATTTAATTTCTACATTTTGATGGTGACTTGAGATATTCACATTTGAAGGAGATCAAGAAAAACAAAAAGGCTGATGATTTTTTTCCTCTTCTTGTAAAGCACATTTTTTTAGGTTTCATATGTATAGAGATTTAATTTGCAATTTCGCAAAGTAGTACTTATTATTTCAGTGTTCACATTTGCTTTTGTACCACTTATTTTTTAAGAGAACATCTAGGAACATTTGTAAGATTCAGAAAAGGATATATCTTTTTTGAATTTTACATTCTTAGCTTTCCTAAATTCTTTAATTTGTACTCACTCTGTTTCATAATAAATGATATTTTTATTTTAAAATAAGTGGTGTTTCGTATAATCAATAAGGTATTTTACTAAAAACCTATTAAGAATTACTTCTTTTTCAAAATGTTTATTAAGGATTAATCAATAATTATATGTATTTTACTTTTTGAGGATGAACAATTACAAACTAAAAATTACACTTATTATGAAACGAGGAAAGTATCGTAAACATTGGGAATTGATTCAGAAAAATGAGAAAAAAGTACTTAGTATTTTGCTTTATTTGACCCCAACTACTTTACTGAAATTGCTAGCTTGGTAGTTGTAATGTAAGTGTTACAGTATTTTTTGGCTACAAATTAAAATATATAAGATGGAATCTATCATTATAAATAAAATATGAAATTAGCTACAATTTTTTTTGTTAATTTGTCGTTAAAGAACTTTAAAAATCTTAGCTACTAATAGATTTTTCTTATACTTCATTGACCATTATTAATCCATCGTTAAATAAAATTATATATCATGAAATTTTTACTATTTAACTATGAAATTTTATCTTTCGCTAATATTTTATTTTCTAAGTAGTGCATGTTGGCCCCCAGCAGATATGTTATTGTCCAATGTAGATCCAAAATGCTAAACAGAACAAATGATTCTTCATATCAAATCTTGAATTATTTTTTTATCAAACAAACTATAAAACATTAATATTAATATATCCAAAAAAAAAATTGGTATAGCCATTAAGTATATATCGAGAATCAATTGATTTACTAATTTAAATTCATGTCATGCTAGATATATTAAAAGGAAAAGTACTATGTACCTGGGATTCATCCCGAATATTTCCACTTCAAAATTTGAATTAATATACAATACATAAAGAAAAAAACATATATTGAATTAAGAAGTGATCCACACATGCTCTCACTACTTAGTATTATTTTCTTAATCTCACTCCCGAGCTATCCATTCTATTAATTACATATGCATCCAGCTATCCCTTTGTTTGTCTATCTCAATACGAACTCATTGAAATCAAACAATAATTGATATAAAATAAGATAATATATGATTTGTGTTTTTTAATAATAATGAATCTATAGAATTTATACATATATATATATTTAAAATGTGATTAGTTGTGATTATGATTTTGTTATTCATGGAAGAAGATGCTATCTAATGACTAATTATAAGTTCCAGCTAACTACTACTAGTTGGTAATGTATACTAAATACACTTCTACCCATCATTTGAGAGCTTTGGTTTGATCTTGTATGCTTCTTGCTTTGATCATTGCTCATGAGAATACGAGTTATTCAATGTAAAATTAAACAAAACATAAATAAACCGATTTAAATAAATACAATGTTCTAAGAATTAAAGCCTTCAAGTCAACTCCACCTAAATTACTAAAAAGAAAGTCCAAAAAATGAAAATAAAAATAAAAAGGTGACACACTAGTAAAATAATTGAATAAAAAGGCAAAGAAAATATAAAAAAGGAAGCAAAAAAAAAAGATCCAAGCGTCCAGCTCTAAATTGATGAGAGATGCACTAAAGAATTACACTTTTTTCACTTTCGGTGTCATTTTCTTCTTAAATTTATAGCATCACCAATCAAACTTGTTCAATTCCCAGCATCTACTTAAAGCTTTATTACATATAGAAAGAATTATTGATTAAGCTTTAAAATTATTTTGTTAAAATATTAATTTTACCTAAGCAGAAAAAGCAAGATAAACTTTTGGACTAACAACATATGGCTCTTTCTTTTACTTTAACAAAGGGATTTTGTATTGTTTTAGTGTAATAATCCCTTGTAATTTTACACGTATAATTCATATAACAAAAGAGGAACAATTTGCTAATTAATTAAGAGAGCAGCTTGACAATTTTTTAGACCATATAAGATCCATTTTGAGCAAAATTTATGAGAAAATGTCAAGTTAATACCAAATTAGATACCTCTGTCTAATATTTTATCTTGAGAATTGAACAATATATAATCGATTACAACACCAAAATCTCAATGGTACTGTATATCCAAGTCTTGTCAGAATGTCATCCAAAGAAAGAAAGTTTGCAATGCCACACTCTCCATAAAAAACAAAGATATCTTGATTGACAATCAAAACGCTCTAACACACGTCGTTATGGCGCTTTGGAATACTACCGATCGCCACCTCTTAAACCCGAATTTATGGAGTTCAAAAGAATAATCTTCCAAGAGCTATATTTGTATAACATTTATAGTAGGAACAAAACAAAATAGTGGTATAAAAAAGAATATTTGTGTAAATCAGCCTCACAACAGTGGAGAATTCCCTAAGGCCCATTATCCTTCCCACCACATATATCGGCCCAACCGTACCGTTCATGCCCGGGTGTAAAAAACTGAACCGAAAATCAAATCAAACTGCAAATTGAGTCAAATCGAAAAAAAATCCGATTAATGGTTTGGTTTGACTTGGTTTGGTATTGGGAAAAAAAAAATTGACAATGCTTGGGTTGGTTGGGTTTTAACTAAAAAAAGTCAACCCGAGACCAAACCAACCCGACATTATATATATATTTTTTAAAATTTATTTTATACATAAAAGTATTTACTTTGATGTAATTTCTAAGTATTACTTATACATTTTCATAATTTTTATTTTTTAACATATTTTTCAAGTTTTTTGAGATTTGGAATTTTGAATGGTCCAATAAAGGTTATAGTCCATAGTTATTACTTATTAGTAACTCTAATAAAGCTCAATTTGAAATCAAATCAATATTATGCTAACAAAATAAATTAACTCAATACTAAAAATGACAATAATGTTGAATATTTGTTATTTAGAAACATTGATTTAGACATTTAAAATACATAATCTAATTTTATTTGTTCTTTAATGTTTAATCATGTAACTAATACTTATTAGACTTATTTTAGCATGATTTAGTACTTTTGAATTATGATCATTTTCATTATGCCTTTGTAATATTTATTTTATATGATGATTTCATTATTATTTTTTTATTGAATATTTTAGTGTCATCACTCATCCATATTTTATGTTATTTTATTAAGAAACACCTTAGATAGTTGTATTTTGATTGGACTAAAGAAATATTTGGAGCACAAATTAATTATATGTTTGTATGCATACTTTATCAGAAAAATCCAAAAACCTGAAAAAAATATCGAGGTTTATTATTTGGTTTGATTTAAAAATTTGAAAATTTGACACAATGGTTTGGTTTGGTTTGGTATTTGAAAAATCCGAACCAACCCGAGGTTGAAAAACCCAAAAAAATTCAAGTTTTATTAATTTGGTTTGGTTTATAAATTTAAAATTTGTACACAAATGGTTTGGTTTGATATTTGAA